GGCCTCCAACCTAGAAGCGATGGCCTCCAACCTACTAGCGATGGCCTCCAACCTAGAAGCGATGGCCTCCAACCTAGAAGCGATGGCCAGCACCTGAAGCACTTGGTATCAAAGGCAGCTTCCACAGCCTCGAGCCGATTCGAGCCGTAGAGCTTTCAGACTGGGAGCCACGAGCAAACCGTGCTTTTGCTGCCAATCATGCAGCAAATGTTGCAGATATCACACATTCCGCAAAAAAAGGGTTGGGTTTGGGTCACCCCAAAGAATGCTAGCTAGGTTGAGACCCGTGCCAATTGTTTCAATATTTTCAGAATTTCAGTATGGTTCAGTGGCGTCAGACTGCCGGCTTGGCGGGTCATCAGGGTTTTTTTGCAGAGTCAGCGGGTCAGAGGTAAGGACAAACCATGGACACCAGATGGCCACACTAATACTAAGTGGGGAATCCAGAAGACAGATATAGATTGAATACTGGTGATTTAACTGGCTGTGGTCCACTCATGGTCAATCTGATATTCTGTTCACGACATGTGGGGCTTACATGATATTAAATGAGGGCAAATGGCTAGCCCATCAAAAGAAATTTCTATCCACAAGTCTTTTGACGTGTCGCGGTGGGGGAACAGGGCTTGCACGCCATCAATGAGAGAGTTTAGATATGTAGTTCATCCACTCAAGTCGTATTGATGTGTCTGTGTATTGACTGTGGATGATGTTGATCTAGGTCCCATCCCCCATGTGTATGTTCATCTTCCGGCCAAAAGCCCGGCAGCCCGGTGCAGCCCGGTGCCAGTTTCAGGCGGTGCTCATGTCTGGTTCGGGCAGCACCATTTTCTGCCTGGGAGATCCTTCCGGCGGGTCCCAGGACTTCGAGGCGGAGTTGTGGAGGACTTCGGACTTTGAGGGTGCAACTCCTACCCAGGAGTGGAAAGTGGATCACTTGCCTGTCATCTGCCCCAAGCTGTTTAGGGGAGAAGTGGGACAGCCCCCCCAAAAAAAGTGGTAGAACAGGTGGAAAGTTCGGGTTATATAACCTCTCCTTTCCTGCTAAAGGGCTCGGAAGTCAGAACTTTTGAAAGGAAGGTGTCAGACACTATAAGCACCACCTGGGATGGATGTTCGGGGTGGTGTAGAAGGTCTTCCAAGGAAGTCTTCAGGCGTAGGAATTTTAGTATGTGAGCACTGGGCCAAATCTACGGATACACGAATTGCTCGAATCGTTCGCCGGTTCACACATGGAGACATGCACAACTGATATGTGGCCAACCCAGCTACCGCCAGTTACCCATACTTTGTCTCTAGGGTATTGAAACCATGGCAACTGATGAGGGCGATCCAAGGAGCTGATGGCATTAAATCAAACATAGCGTCCGGGTTCGTGGAGAAGTGATTGTCTTCATTGGCCTGGGTGTGTGAGGATGTTTTCTTCTGGTTCTTCTAATGAATCATGAATCTTCCTGTTCCGGTCAACTGCACAAATCATCACAAATCTGGTGAATTCAATCTATAGACGATGTGACAAAAGGCTTGGAAATAGAGAGTGCGCAATAGGGAGGGTCTCAACCCTCTCAGCTTGGCGAACTATTTGAAAGAATCAACATCATCTCAAGGTGTGTGCGCCGTGCGCATGGGGTGCGTGAAGTGAGACCACCTAATTTGTTGAAAGACCATCAGTAACACGTCCACCACACGCCTGGGTGGAAACTGTCCAGCTCTCACAGCCTCGACTGGCCAAGGCAGCCACGAAGGAGAAGTTTGACATCGAAGGCATTTGGAAGACGAGCTTCATGCGTGTCTCGGCCGAAGAGTTAGAAAGACTGAACATCCGGCCGGTGTTCAGAGAGAATTCTGCTCAGTATCGGGAATTTTCAGCTTGACCTCGATTCCTGAAGGACAAGCTGAAAAGGAATTCTGCTTGATTCTGCGGAACATCCTTTGGGATTCTTTCCTTTCTCCTATTCGTCAGTCGACTTCCATCCTTTCCGGTGCACTGACCGGGAATCGAAGCAAACATGGCCCCCCCAGATTGAATCCGCTCCACATGCGATTGAATCCGAGTCAGCTGATTCGGCTGATTCGGAGTTCATGTAAGAAAGACCCTGGCCCCACACCAGCCAGCTATGAAGCAAGAATTGTTTTTGGTAGAATTGGCATGAATGGACTGACTTACCAAGAAAGACTGGCTAGTCCACATGAGTCTGCAGTGTGCTATTCAAACTTACGATTGCTGTTGAGGCAGGCAGTATACAGTATACTAGCTGAACAATAATGCATAGTTACATAATCATTACATAATCATAATCCATTGAACAGGTTGAGTTGATTGATGAAGATGATAAACACCCTTTGTAATGGTGCGCCTGATCCATGAATATCAGACTTCTTTGATGTGAATTGACCCAATATATTACAATATGTTATATATATTTTAATATATAATCATCTTTACTGCCTGGTTACTTGCGTTTCGAGCCGTACGTTCCCACGTTTTGGAGCTCAGATGCGTTTTTGGAACGACCACACAGATGCATTTAGCCGAGGACAGTAAACGCATATAGGCTCATATAGGTATTTGGATGGGGCCTGGATTTTGGGAGGGGGCTATACGTTTTGGATTACACGTGCGGAACCTTACGTTTTACGTTTTGCGGCACCGGGGCGCCTAAGTATATATATATATATATATGATACCAAGTCGTGGATTCGGTCACGCACCGCCAAGAAACCTGCGGGACCGCATTCAACGGCCCCTGGTGGCCCTGGCCCACGGGCAGCAGTTTTGAAGTGTTGCTGGTGCGTTACATTCAGTTGCTTGATGTTCAACGCATGTGAAATGACCTGAGTTTCTCCAACATGAGATCAGATGACCTCGAGGCCCAGCAAGAAGTGTGGGGTTGGGGGGGTTTTGCAAGGTTCTGCGATCTCCCTAACTTCTCCACTTGCGGCTTCACTGAGCCCCAAAGCCATCGAAGTGAGGCCGGCCCAGCCCTACTGAGTGGTACCAAGAGGCAGGACTTGGCCACTGTGAAGCGAGATTGGACCTTTCGAGAGATGGAGGGTTCCCCTAAAACGAAGGAAGCCAACATGAAAGCTGTTCAAAAGGAGTCATGGAAGGCCATCTTCCACTCGTAGCTTCTTGTTAGTAGTAATGCCCTTGTTACTAGTAGCGTCCTTGTTCCCAGTAATGCGGGCCGTGCGGGTTTTGTTGGCGGGACTTGGCCGTCTTTTTGCTGGTGGGGCCTCCTCGAGCAAGGGGGTTCTTGTGGATGAAGGTGGGGGACCCAGTGGGGGAAGCCACAAAAGATACGGATCCAGCCATCTCCATCAGCATCCTTGACATACGTTCTTACTTGGCGCCTTCTCTTGGTGTTTGGTATGATATGGTATGATCTTTCCCCAAGTCACTCCATAGGTGTTTTGACCGGCGGATCGGGTTGACAATTCGTTCAGGTTTTCGGGATGAGCCGGAGTGGCGCTTAGCAGTGCGGCGGTTCTCCCAGTCTCGAGCTGCTGGCGGTGCGCCAGGTCTAAGCTGCTGGGCTGAGTGAAGTGAGTGGAAGAAGGTCGAGGAGTGGCGTGAAATAGTTTGACATGCATATAGTGAAGTTCTGTCCCAGACACGACCCATGGTTTGGGACAGGAATATGATGGAATATGTGTGTGTAGTATCATTGTAATATATTGTAATATAATATGTACAATTGTATAATTTGTATACATAATATGCCGCTCCATTGATCCCTTTTCAATAACCCCCCAGACATGGAGTGGTTTAGTTTGGTTGTCTTCAGCAAGTTTGCGGATTGGATCAGGAGTTTGAGACCACCCCCTCCTGTAGAAGTACAGACTGACTGTAGCCGCATCGGCTGGATGTCTATCGGTTTCATAGAAATGATAATTTCAATACGCTGCGCAACCAGTTGCAGCGATTCTTTTCCTATCGAGTCGCCATGGTGGTTCAATGGAGAAAAATGCTGCGAGTGGACAAAACAGTGACTGGCTGTTGCAGCTGTGGTTTCCCCTTATTAGAGCACATCAACGGGGCAGTGCAAGACTTGCCGGATTTGTCACTGCAAGCTTACATATCGTTTGCAGCTGCATCGCTTGCATCGCCCGCGCATCCATCAATGCAGCTTCCACAGTTGGCAACATTGCGCAATTGCAATTGGATGCAAGACCTGGGCCACACCTCGTCTCAAAATCTGTGTTTTTTTCGTTCAAATGAAAGATCAGAAAGATGGCCAGCTGATACAGGAAACAACACTTGACGCTTGTTCATCGATCATGAGTCCCCCACAGCAGGCAGAGCAAAAGAACTCAGGCAGAGCAACTTGCGGCAGTTTTGGGCCGATCTGATCGCTGCGAATGACATGACATGTGATCCCTTTGCGGGGGGTTCCAGGCAAGGGTCTCATGTCCCTCTCATGTCATGCTGCTCACCTAAATGAGACATATACCTCACTGGGAATCGTTTCACCTGTAGTAACAATAAGGCTTTTGAGTATGTCTTTGAAGCTTCTTAGTAACAAGAAGCTACTAGGTGGAGGCCATCGCTACTAGGTTGGAGGCCATCTCTACTAGTATGTCCTTCAAGCTTGTTAGTAACAACACTAATTCATCAGAAGATTTTGAGGATTTACCACTACGGCAAGTCGACAAAGGCGACCAGGTGGTCTACGAGCCTTCATGTCGAATCCTTCGCCCCCGCGGCGTCGGGCCGTTCCGTTTGGGTGCGGACATTGTGACATGGGGCTCCCCAGTCAGAAATTCTAATTTTACTGGCCGTGTGTGGTTGTTTACAATCACACCCGAGTTGCGATGCAAATAGCAAGAAATTCATCATTTGTGATCGAATTGACACCTTAATCCTGTTAAATCATACTTGTAGAGCCAAAGAGTTCCCATGTGGCGAAATGCTCTGCAGTCCATCAAGGCCGGCTTTCTTCGTTCGTACCGAATCCCCGGGCCGAATGCCGGGAGCGACTGGTCCTGGTCCTCGGTGGGCCATCAGTTCTTGTCTCTTTGGGCCATTCAGTGATTCACAGAATGACCATACAAATCATACAAGTATAATTAGATCATCGACGGCAGATGTTGTGGCGACGCATCAAAGATGAAATAAAGCATGTATTACGAGTATCCTTTTGAAGAACATATTCACAGGTGATGGGGACACGCCCAGTTTGGGATTATTCGGAAATGGATCCCGAGACTTGTGTGAAGCGCATGAAAGACCCACGAAGCCACTGAATGCCCTCATGAATCTCATGTTGACCATGTTGACACCCATTTCTATCCATTTCTGGGTCTTGCCGAATACCTGGGTTCTCTAAAGGACCTCAGTAGAGGTGTTGATCCACATTTGTTGCTGGTGGGGTGAGATTCCAAAAATTCACTAGAGTCACTAGAGTATGCAAGTATCGTATTTTTGTTGGTGATGTTCGCCGATTGAATACCGGGTGCAAAACACCGCCTGCAAAGTTGCTGTTGCTCATGTTTGTCCCGTCTAATACATGGTGAAACACCTTGATCTTCAATGGTCGGCCAGGTGTCTGTTGGGTGGCCGACACCGTGGTCGGCGCGGGCGGACTTGGAGGTGCAAGAGAGCGGTACATGGCACGGAAAGAGTAGTGGAACTGAGACCTGAAAAGCAGTGAGGCTCAAGACTTAGCATGATAAGCTTTTGTATAATTTGAATCTTCACACCCTGTCAGTCATCTCGTGGTCAAATCATATGTGACCTGAGATCTCACCCCGAGAGTTGATTGGAATTCCAATGACTGGCGGCCACCCTTTTCATCCCTTTTCCACCTGTCCAGACACTTAATTGATGTTTTCGTCTTGGACTTCTAGGCTTCAGATCATTTGAGGGTCCAAACTGAAGCTCCAAGAAGACCGCTCAGTTGAGTGAACAACGCCTTGCACCGGACCAGCAGTTGCAGGCCAGTAGAATCTTTCGCCGGACCTTCTATGCGTCCAAATGGCAGAAGAGGCCATGTGGGAGGTGGTGATTGCAGTCATGGGCCACCAGGAGGCCATCGCTAGTAACCCGCTAGTAGGTTGGAGGCCATCGCTCTTAGGTTGCTAGTAGGCGCTTTTCAATCGTCTCGATTCCTCCTGCACCATTTGTGATGAACAAGATTGCTGTTCAGGGTGAACTTATTTGTTCATTTTCGGTGGTGTGTTCTTTTTCTTCTAGTGGCTATCTTCATTCAACAGTCCAAACCCTTAAGCTAATGTTCTGTGAGCTTTGCAGGAGGTCAGGATTAGTTCTGACCTCTAAGAATGTATCAACAGAGAGTCTTGGAGGTCGAGGTGCAAGTTGCAACCCACAGACCAGGAATGGCTGTAGGGGTTTGTACAATCGAGTTTCTACATCCTGGCAGGTTCTGGAGAAAAGTAACATTGAGGAATGGCAACGTTCAAAGGTGCTTGGGGTTCGGACAACTAGCTTTGATTGAGCTTGATTGAGGTCCAAGACTCATGCAATGAGGTCAAAACCATGGCTTAGTAGGGTCGAGTGAGCCTTTGGGGATGTGCATGATGTGCAAGGTGCAAAGTCTTGCATGTTCTTGCGTTTTATATGTGTGTTCAATCTCCAACCTGTTTATATACTACGGTTTACTCATCTCACTTCAGGAGCTTGGCACCGCCACAAAGCTAAATGAACCCACGCCCTCCCACCAACTTCGAAACGGTGAAAAATCACCGGCCGCCGTGACGGCGGCTGGGCGCTGATGCGCCGTCTCAGCCGCAGGCTTGGGCATTTGCTGGAAGGACGGCGGAGGGCTCCACCCCCCGAGATCCCGGAGAAGGAGACGAGGGGGAGACAACGGAGACGAGCGCTTTCGAGGTTGATTGAGGTGTGTGTTGGACTGTTGTGCCATGTTGCCAAACCTGTGTGTTAGACCAATTAAGTTTAACTATCTCTAAAAGCTCTTGATGGTTCCAAGTGGATCCAGTTACTGCTTTTGGCGGGTGACCAGCAGTTAGTTCCAAAGATGACCAAGAAACAATTTAAAAAAGTAGACCTGGAAACCAAGATTCCATTTGGTTCCTTCAAAAGAAGTGGGATGTGTAATCCCTGTATACAGGTCAGTGACCTCATTCTATTGGAGTTGATCATACAAGCAACACTTCTCTGTGCGGTAAAGGACCAGGTTTTACTCGGACCTGTAGGGTATTGGATGTACCTGACGCTTTGCTTTCCGTGGCTGTGGAGAGTTCATTGGTTTCAAGAGGGCAGACCCTCAGAGACCCTCTCCACCGTGAAACGGGTCTTTCCCTTGTGGGTCAAAACCTCCCCCAATCCACAGAAGCTTGACTAAGCTTCACCATATGTTTGGTGGTCAACCAGCCTCCTTCGGTTTTAACTATTTTTGACTCACAGCCATGCCGGCAAAGAAAGCAATGTGTGTGTGCAACAAGACTTGAAGTTCTTCATCGCGTTCACCTCTACTGCATGCTTAGCGATTATTTTTGGGTGTGCCAGTTCTCCAGGAGAGCTTGCAGAACGACTTTAACATCAAACCCTTCAAGCCTGTTCTGGATTCCAAGCGCACTGGCGTGCCTGAGACCCAGCAACTCCGCTGATGAGACTTCTCAGACATGCCGATCTCCAGATCTCCGCAGCGATGGGACAGACTGTGACGGATGCGGTTCTTTCGAAAGTCCCGTCATGCCTGGACGTGTTTGCCTTCGAGTCCGCCGGCGAAGCTAGACTCTGGGTTACACTGATGGAAATCATCGTGCAAGTGAGTGGAGTTCTGTTTGCTATGTGCAAAATGGTCATCCAAGAAGGGCCATGTAATCAAGAGCCCCCCGTGCCATCCACTTTCCTGATTACTTTAAGGTGTGTTTTCTTTTGAACCTCCCATAACCCCACCATCAACTCCTCATTTGTGCCGAGGCTCGCCTACAAGATTGGCTGCATGTCGCTATGGGACGTTTGGGATCCCAGCACAGATGTTGACACGCTTTTTTTGTTTAAGGGAAACATACCATCGGATCCCCCAGCACCTCCCAGTTCGGGTGGTTAGACCCATCCAACAACCATGTGTACCATCCAACAACCAGTCTTTGGGTGGTCCTAGTAAAATTCATGCATGTAATATCATGTAATGATGTCATGATGTAGCATAGGTTGTATTTGGGAATGTTTTGGATTTACCTCAAGCATTTGAACGAATGACCCATGCCTGTAGCTGTAGCTGCTTGGCCCATCATTGGAATTAGGATTCTTCAAACAACACGGTGGGTACGATTCTAAAAGCAGCTCAGTCTCAGTCCTCCAAGCAAAGAGTCACATAGTCCTCTACACTCGACAGCACCCTGGTCGGAATAGCTCAAAGGATCTCAAAGGTATACACTAATAGCAATGGCCTCCAACCTATGGTGAAGGCTCTTAAGACGGCTTTTCACCACTCATTCACTGAGATTGCTCGGGGCCCAGCGTGATCCCACACATCTCACCGAGTCGGAGTCGCGCCCAACGAAGGATGTCACTCGATTGGACCTGAGGAATGGGGCGTGAAGCACATGGTGACCGTGTGTCAACTGGATCGTTTGCATGTCTTGTCCGGGGGCCTGGTTCGCCCTGTTTCGCCAGCCTCGGGCCAACGGCCGTAGCAAAAGGCTGATGTGATGAGATGCGTCGGATAGACTGAGGACGCCTTTGACATTGCAAAAGAATGGCTACGAGGAGGGGGAACGCTTGGGGGGAAGTGGCACGAGTGTTTCTTCGCGCCTGTGTAACACAAGTTGTACTCAGAAGTGGCCATGCTTTTTTGCGCTTGTAGCCTCGAACATTCTTTACCTAACTAACACCAGAACTAACACCTTCCTGCCTCATCAAAGCATTCGAGGATGGGCCTCTGGGTTGAAGAAAGAAGTCCAGCTACCGGCAGCTTCCGGGTTTTCTCAAGGTGGTGGTCCTGAGTCCTGTGCAGAATTGTACCAATTTTGTTTAAATGGGTTGAAGGTAGCAAAAGGTGCATGTATCATCATGTATCCTGTTAGCAACCCGAGACGGCTGCCAGAGACCCGAAAGAACTTCAGCCTTCGCCATTCCGCCGTTTTCGTAGGCCGTCCGTGTGGGACTGGGCTACAGATCCATCCACCGTCAGAAGCGGCAGGCGCGGACAGAAGACGAGCGATTCGCAACGTTAGAAAGACATAGAACCTATAGGTCAACGACGAGCTGGATAGATCCGAACCCATCACCTGCCCAGGAAAAGTGGACTGGAGATCACCATCCTTCTACAAGATAAATAAGCATTTGGGATTGGTTTTCCCACTAAACACCGGTGAACAGATCGGTTCGCCATGTCGAAAAACAGAGCGTGAGCCTTTGGGAATGGGCGCAGCATGGCGGCACCGCGGAGGAGATCGGGAACGCCATTGCGGCCGGGGTAGGACCCAAGCATCACATCTGTGAGCAGCGCTCTTAGCCGAGAACTGCAGTGCTGGACTGACTCAGTGTAGGCGAAAAGAGAGACCCCCGATGAACAAATGGCCCCGAACCATGAGATTTGTTTATAGAAAAGCCACGTCTACTGACCATTCATCAGAATTGACCAGTACCTGTTGAATGGACTGTCTAACTGAGATTAGATTAATTTTGGATAATTTTGGCATCTCCTGGATCAGGTTTGAACCAGGCTTTGGTGGACTGGGACCGGCATCACTGGGCTTGACGTTGGACGAGGTTTCACCAGGCTTTGCATAACCAGGCTTTGGTTATGCGGATGGCATGCCCTATTGGATGACATATACTACAGGTTTTCCACTTCCACTTCCTCCAAAGAGTTGAAAAAACAAACAGCATATCCTCCATCTCACATCGACTAGACATCCATCCTGATTCGTCACGTGTCTCTTCACCGAGGTTTCGAGTCTCTTCCGACTGCCTGCTTCCTGCAGGACCGGGTCGAAGAGACGGTCTACGGGCAGTGAAAACGCGATGAAATGGAATCACCCGTGTGAGCACCAAACGGTTTGGTGAAACTGTTGGCAGAATCTGCACTGGCTGGGAAGCATGGGAGTTTAATACATGCATTGCCCTGTGTTGTTTTTAAATGTTCATAGTATTTCACATTTAATATCATACATATATATAATATATATACTGTATACCATTATGTGTTTTTTCAGGTTTATTGGGCAGGGCACTTTTCTTGGTATTGTCTATGTGTGACGCCTCCAGTCAGCCACTTGGCTGAAATCTCGCAGCCTGTTACTTTGGAGGAGAATAAGCGCAGCCTGTTTCCCCCATCTGAAATAGTTGAGCAGAAGTTCGCAGTTGAAGCTTTGGACCCCTCTTGCCCATCAACAGGACGAGTGATGTCCTTTTTGCGCCAAGAACAAGGATATGGGCAACATCCAAAAGCGTTTGTACACAAATCTTTATGTGAAAGGATGTGAAAGGAGTTATTTCATTGAAATTATCAAAGCGATATAGTGAACAATATTTTGGAGCTCGCTCATATGCAACGATTGGTTTGGCCTTCCGCCACCCACCTCTTTTGGTGAAAAAAGCGCAACTTTCCTCGCTGAGCTGGACCAAGGATTTCCGATCTCCGTTCGGCATTTTGTTCCTGGACAATGGGCCGGGTGCCTTAGGAGGAGTGTTCACTCAAGGCATGATGGTATCGCAGGGCGTTGCAGAGCATTGACCGGCACGGCAGAGTACGGAAGACCGTCTTGAAGACTTGGTGGAACTCTGAAATTACACTGTGCAAGGAACCGGAGTTTCAGTTGGTTTGCGATGTTTGTGTTTGGAACCAGGTTATACCTACTTGTACCAAAAAGTCATGATTTGTTGGGAGTACCATGCTTGACAGAGAGGGTTCCTTACAACTGCTTGACTGTGCAGTCCAAGAATTCAGAAAAGATGTATTCACAATCACTCATGTCCCAGGCTTTGATTAAGTAAGTCTTCACGTTACCATAAGACTGTTTGAGGTCTTCGTTTCTGGATGGAGCAAGGGAAGAGGCTACCACGGTGTGATGAAGCGCCCCTTGCCTGCAAAAAACGATGGAGATGAATGGGACGATTTGGGAAGACGAACGAGACATCTACTGCACTGTTCCTCTCCGAAAAGACTAAGCAGAGGTTGCCAATAAATAATCCTGGAGGGAGCGATATAGAGGGAGGGAAGACCACCCCAAAGTTTGAGATGTTTGTTCTTTTGGGGTTAACCTTTGATATTTGGACTTCTTCCCATCAAAAAGCATACCTTCTATATCCTCCTGGAGACATCCTTCTTGTTCTCCGTTAGGATCGTTGGGATCAGGTGAATATATATATATATATATCGTGCAGGCGACTCATCAGAGGGCATAACATGTTCAAGATCATTGCACCCGCGCTAACTTTTGATAGTAATTAAATGTATTCCTCCAGCATGCTCCCAGGAAGACTCCTCCACGGACATCACCCCAAAAAAGTCTTGCAATCTTTGAGAGAAAAAGCCCCAGGATCAACGAGGAAAGACGGCCTCCACCGCTTCACGGCCTCCACCGCTTCACGCTCCCAGGTTGGGGTTTCGCTGGAGGAGGATCAGACAAGCGCGGACACAAAAAGGACCACCGATCTGCTGGCTCCTTGGGCTCGGGTCGCCAAGGATCCGCCAAAATCTCGAAGCAGACGCTCCATACCCAGACACTCCATGTTGTTGTTTTGTTCATTTTTATGTGTGTAGAAACACTTGACTTGGGGTGTTTTTGGTGGTCAATGTAGGCTCAGTAGAGGCTTGACTTGGGGCGTTTCAGTAAGTGTAGACACCCTAAAACAAGACAATGGCAGATATGTGTGTGTATATATATATATATACACAGTTGGTTTTGGAACATGTTCTATTTGGGCCTGGTTGGGGGGTTGGTACCTACAATGCACCCATCACAGACTGGGTAGTCCCGAGTCGACATCCTGGACGTGTCGGAAGGTCCGATAGACTGGTGTTCTCGGTCGAATCCCATTGCAGTTCTCTCTCTCTCTTCTTTGTTTGGTCCGCGTTGCCCTCGCCCTCACCCTCGTACTTAATTCTGTAGGCGGCGACTAAAGCAAACTACGAGGTAACCTGCTAGGATGCAGGATAGCTCATGCTATTCATGAACAAAAAACAAGACCTTGGGGCATCCTGGATCACCAAGGGAACTGGCACTGGGGTGAAATGGAGACTAAACATGTCCATCAATCATCAATGTTTTTGTGTTCTTGTTTAAATGGTTGTGTGCTTCCACCAGTTGTAGATTCTTCACGTAGAACCTGTTGTTGTTTTATGTTTTGAAGGGAAACTGCCAAGTTAAATTTGAGGGATCTTTGCACTTGCAAAGAATTAGTGTTTTACATTTAGTGTTGATTCTTTCAGATTGACTGATGTTTCCTTCTGCCAAACGTTTGTTCTTCAAGATGCCTTCAATTCAATAAACACATCCAACTAACACACACTCTGACATTGGTTTTCAGTTAGCTCAGTTCCCAAGTCGAGAAGGAAGGTGAGGGAACGGAAAGGTGCATGGGTCCGCAGAAAAGTATTGTTGAACAAGTGTTGAAGCGCATCTGCAGTGACTCAGCGACAGCTCACGAGCGGTGGAAACCTGTTTATGGGGAAGGTAGCATGAGAACAACCATGAAATCAAAAAACAGCAGCAAGGGGAACCAGTGGAGTCAGTATGTTGAAAGCAGGTACAGGAAGGTGATCAGCCTTCCCTTCCCATCCATGACCGCAGCTTCGTTGCACACGGTAGGTCATGGATGCCGTGTGCCCCTGCTTGAAAAAACGATGCCGAGGTGAAGAGCCCTTAGGGACAGGGTTTGACACACACACGGTGCCGCTTTGCGGCCCTCGTGCGGACGACAAAGCCTTAGAAACAAAAGAAAGAAACACAGAAAGAGCAGCGCTAAGAGGGCAAGAGAGAAAGGTAGGAGTAGAAGAAAGTGAATACTTAGCCTTTGACTGGGGTAGGGAAACGAGCCTCAAGAGCAACCTAAAGGCCTGAGAGAAAGCGCAAGAAGGAAAGAGGGGGGGCAGGGAGGTGTATGTACATGTGTGTGTCCGTGTGTGTGTGTATGAATACTTAGCACTCTAGAATTACTGATTACTTAGCGGAAGTGAATTAAATGCAATAGTTAGGGAGCGGGACTTTAGTCTTAGACCGCCCGGGTAGAGAAGACTAGAAAAGGGACAACAGAGGGAAAGGCACCGACACACAAGTGTGCCGAGTACCATTTCCCTCTGTTACCTTAATTAGTGGGTGGGAGGGGTTGAGGTGTTTGGGGTAGAAACCGCGTTTGGGTTCATTCTCCGTACAAGCCCGGCGGCTATTGGAGCAGTTAATCCAGTGGTGAAAAGGAGTCAGTTAAGAAAATCCAACGAATGGTGGAAACGAAGATTCAGTTACACGAATTCCGGAATGAGAACGGCGCCTCCTTGCGGAGGATCACACCCAGCACCCAAGTGGGACGGCTGAGCGGTTCACACTCTGACATTGGTTTTCAGTTAGCTCAGTTCCCAAGTCGAGAAGGAAGGTGAGGGAACGGAAAGGTGCATGGGTCCGCAGAAAAGTATTGTTGAACAAGTGTTGAAGCGCATCTGCAGTGACTCAGCGACAGCTCACGAGCGGTGGAAACCTGTTTATGGGGAAGGTAGCATGAGAACAACCATGAAATCAAAAAACAGCAGCAAGGGGAACCAGTGGAGTCAGTATGCTGAAAGCAGGTACAGGAAGGTGATCAGCCTTCCCTTCCCATCCGTGACCACAGCTTCGTTGCACACGGTAGGTCATGGATGCCGTGTGTGCCCCTGTTTGAAAAAACGATGCCGAGGTGAAGAGCCCTTAGGGACACACACACACACACACCGACTCTGCTCAATTAGAGTTTGACCTCCTCGCCCACACCCTGCATTCGATCTTATCCATGTTTCACATCACGAGGGCCGGAGGGAGTCGGTCGCTTTGTTTGTGGACTGGACCAAGGTCAGCGAGGTGTTGGCAAGGTTTGGAAATACAAGAAAATGGCAGGACACAAAGGCGAGACCGTTAATTTGTGTGATCCATTTTTTCCAGCAGATGATTTGGACTAGTGCCTAACAAGATTCGATAAGATGATAAGAGCTAACAACTTTACAGATTTCAGGTGAGTTGAATCATTGTTTCATTGATAGAAGAGCATTTTGTTGATTGTGGCTGGCTTGCTCGCCACCAATTTTGCAGCTTCTTCAGGTGTTTGTGGAAGGTTCTTTTCAGGATCTCTGTGGTCACTGTCGTGCCAATCATTTCTAGAGGCATTTGTAACTATATGGTCGCTTTGGGATCCACCAGCAGCATTCAGCGGGACTGATGGGCTGTCGGATCAAGTAGGGATCTCTGTGGGGCACTCCTTGAAGGTTAGAAAGAACACTGGTGACTCAGCCGGGTTTCTCCTTTTCCATACAGCCAGGTCCAGACCCTCGCTGTATGAATGCTAAAGCCACAGCCTCAATGTGTTAATTATGTTAGATGTTTTTTTAGACGGACACGTGTGATCAGGTTTGAGGGTTGAGCAAATTCTAGGTTCAGACTCAACTATATAGGAAAAACCATAGACTCAGACACCTAAACTTCTTGAATATAGTAACACTCTAAGATATGATCCGCTGGGTCCGCTGCCCCTGACAAATTGATCAGACCAGTCCTGAGGTCTTTCGAATTGAGAGCGCGCGGAATCTGATCTTCCTCAAGGGACCCCTGCCTGGCTACAAGGCGCCACGCGGGCAAAACGACTTCGCGTGTGGCGAGAAGACATGGGCGGTCCTCAACCACGGGGTGAAACCCAAGAAAGAGTCAAAGGCGGGTCTCCCAGTTTTCGTAAAGACAAGTGCAAGATAGGTAGTGCCAGGAGAGTTGGGAAACAGAGTCCTTTTCTGTCCTTTGTGTGTTACTCCAATGGTCCACAATGGATCTGCTTGCTTCTTCTGTTGAGAGGGGTCAGATGAATAAACCTACTAGGATTTCCATGGAGTTGGGTGGCGGTTTTGAGACCCATCCTGTGGATATTAAAAACAAAAAAACTGCTATGGCCACCCCAACATGTAGCTCCAGGTACTGTAGTGTGTTTTTTGGTAAAGGGCTTTTGGACGTGGAAGCCTTAGAAGCAGATCCAAGGATCCAGGAACCAACGGAACATGGGCGGTCAGGAGTCTTGCTGCAGAGTCTGGAGACGCCAAACGAAGCAGCTTTCATTCAACGACTCCTGGTATTTGTAGAGTCAGGAAAAACTCCTACAAACTTGGTTTGAACATTCCTACTACAAGGTTTGGAGGGTTCCAGACCAGTGAAAGGTAGGAAAACCATGTGGAAAACGGTTTTTGCAATCCTGAGATTGAAGGGGAAGAATCTTATACCACCTGAGATGGACAAGCTCAATGATTCCCCGCTGTTCACAGGGTGAACTGTATACCCTAAACCCTTTCACAAGTCGGACGGGACCCGGGCAAGTCCCAGGAGCGAGGCCCATCTACGAACTCCATAAAAGACCATCCGTGGATCGGTGTCTATTTGCATGGATCGGTGGTTTTAAGATGTTTAAAAAGGCCATGTAGGTATATCAAATGTCCAGTCCATGGATTCGCGGGGACACTACCATTGTTCATTCCCAGCCGTGGAGACACTAGCTGCTTTCCCTGCAAAGTACAGTCAGCAGATTCTGCGAGCAAAGTACGACGACGATTCACAGGGCCTTTATCTCAACCCGTCTACCTCAACCCTTCGACACGGTCTGCATGGCACGGTCTGCATGCCCTGTCGACACGAATCAGGGCAGCGTGGTGAAGATCCACGATGCTCGCGGAAAGACGGCTTTCAAGAACAAACACATTCGATTGCGGGGCCTCCTGGTGATCAAAATGTGCAGGCTTGTGAAGGCAAGTAAACAAGTAGGGGCAGACGAGCTGGGTGTGGGACAACAAGGTCCGTTTTCTTGAAGGGTGAAGTTCAAAGATGAACCTCCTCATCGACTACCTGACTACCTCACTATGTCCACTTCGTTTGAGATGGACTGCTCCCTAGCTTGGGGGTTTCAAACCTTCTCGATGAAGCCCCTGTCAGCCAAAGAACCGCCTAAAATCATCTGCACTACACAACAATGTTACAGAATATTGTATTCAAAGAATCCAGGAATCAAATCATTAGTGCGAGCGCTTGCTCAAGGAAGCGTGAGCTATCCTGCGTCCAGTTACTAATAGCGTCGAAGGAGCTAGGAGCGAACTTCTCCCTTAATTAAGTATAGGTGATAGTAGGTGCCTACTTAATTAACGAAGAAGGCAGGGCCACGGTCTTTTGAAAGAAATGTATTCTTGTAACTTGTAAACTTGTAAACCCTTATCAGCCAAGGTGAATCCGCAGAACTGCGGCTTCCGCCCACCGATTCCTTTTTTGGGGCAACGGACTGCCGACCACCCGTCGCACCATCCGGAGGCCGTTTCCAACCTTCGTTCCCATGCCCGGCGTGGAGTATCCGGTGACCGTCCAGGAGTGAAGAACATGACCACACGGGACGTGACCACCGGGGTGTAGAAGAAAAGCAGCAACAACAATGCAATCACATGTGCAATCCTAGACCAACGACAAAGACCCCTTTTTTGGCTTGGCTCTTGTGGGTTTTCCATTTTTGACCATCCTTGTAGACGTTGCGCGAGAGGAACCTCCTCCACAAAGAGATCCTTTCCTGTATCCGGAGCAGCCCTTGTACCAGATCCTTGGCTGACAACAGAAGCAATCAATCAATATCTCATGATTAGAATGCATGTTTATATATATATATATTGTGTCAAGATTTCAAGAATTGATGAATTTACAAGATCTCAGGCCGAATGATTAAACATCAATCAATCAAAAATGTAAATAATCTTATTTAATGTTAATAAATATCAATACTAAAATATATAAAAAGATTATATATTGATAATTATTAGCGATTTATTTTGAATATATTTATTGATATATATTTCTTTATTAATTCTCTGTAGAATATAAATAGATATTTTTTTCGGTATTGATATATATTTGTAATTAATTGATATATATTAAATTATATATATATATATATTTAATTTATATATTTTATGTTATTTTTCTTATATATTTAAAATAAATATATATTTTTTAAGATTTCGGTGTTTTTTTTCTGACGATTATATATAAATTGAACGAATTGGCATTGGTTGGTTTATTTGTAATATATTTATAATAAGGAAAGGGTAATTTTATGATATTTTTCTTGAATATATTTAGGAATTGATATTATTAAAAATATGAAAAAATTGATAATTATTTTAAATTTTGATGGAGGATAAAATTAAATTTATTTAATTTAATTATTATAAATGTATTGGAAATTTATGAAATTTATGTTTAAGGATTAGATTTTAGACGATTAACAAATGATTGGTTATTTTTATTACGATTTCCGAGAATTCGGAATTTTATCGTTCGATTTATAAATTTTACGGGAATAATTTAATATAATTGGTGATAATGAAATATCGGCTAACCAAATTGTAATATAATCCATTTGTCAATGGAATTCTCCGCAAATTGTATAAATGATTCGAATCTTGGCCAATTAAATATTCCTTGGTATATTTTTTGTGTGTTTCGTGCTTAGTTGTGGGCCTGTATGATATATAATGAATTTAATATTTGACCCAATTATTGACGATTTAGGGAATACAACCATTGAATTTGATTGATTACGTTGTGTTGGGCTTGCAACTACTTCTATGGCTGCAGATTCATGATATTCATAGCCAATAAGATGTTGCCGAATTTGTAGATTGGCTTCGTGGCCAATTTTTCGACCAACAACAAATTGGGAGCTTTTCAGCCGGCTGGTAAAAACGCGTGCTGCATTTAATTAAGCATCAGGATATGATTCTAATATTGCTATTCTTGCAGAACAATCACCCATAAATGACCTATTTGATTGATGAATGGTACAAGTCAGATCCATATGTGCACGCCTTTCTCTATGCAACACAATGTTGTATATGCAAGTTGATCGATTCCCCAGTCTTGATTTTGTGAGCAGATTTATGGATGCTGGATTGAGGTATTTGAATTCATTTTTACGTAATTCATGGATTTGAAATTACTTGGTATAATTTTCGAATGTTGGCCTTAATATTTCACAAAGGAGATGAGTCCCCATGTGGCCACTATGTGAGCGCCCTATATACCTCTCTTGGGGTCCTTCTAGCTGATGATGATGCTCCACCGCATCAAATGCATATGCAAGTGAATATTATTTGATTTGGTTTGCATCCATCCGGGTGTTGCAGAGTCAGAGATGGACCATGCCGATTTGCCGAATAGTGGCAATGGAGAAGACATCGGATCTAAATGATTTATTCGGTGTTGGTTTTGACCAAAGCTAACTCGTTGGTTTTGACCTTTGCGGATGTGGGCCTTGACGTTCTCGAAATGTGCAGCTGCTCTGAGCAGTCTGCAGCCCAAAACGGGCAGAGAACACTTCTGCCGTTTATGAAATGAAATGAAAATATATGTTTAATATAATGTAAGTGATCGAATAGATTATTAAATATGAATTAGATTATTTATTAAATATTATATAAATTATGCAAAACGTTAGAAAAAAATATATATAGGTGTATATGATATATTATTTTGTTGTTTAGTATTTTGAAATATAATACATGAAATATTGATTTTAATTCAATACATAGTTATTTTGGATATAAGGAAAAATATATTTATATAAATTGTATAATATATATATTTTTTTTGTGGTAATGATATTGATAATATTATTTAATCATTTATTGTAATTTAATTGTCATGATTTTAGATAATGAAGATTATATTTTATTTTTCTAATTTATGATGAATTTAATATGAATGTTAATGATATTGGAACAACAATAAGAATAATATATTGATAATTATGGAATGATTACATGGAGATAGCAAGTGGCAATGATGGGGTTAGTTGCCATTTATTTCATGAATTATCGATTATTTAGTGATTTATGGGAGGTTGAGGATTTATATTCATTGATTTATAACAATGATTCTGATAATGGTAGCCTAGATTTTGCAACGGCTAAAATATTCTAATACGATTGGATTGTTTTATTATTTTTTACATTTCGATGGAGAAAATGGTAGTTGTTAGAAACGCTTTATTTTTGTTCAACATTGTGATTTGGGTATATTCCGCAGATTTTGATCCGAATAGCCATCATCGGCTATTATAAATCTATATTTGGAAATGGTTTCCATATTTATCAATCTATCCATCAACCATCCCATTGGACGCAATGATCAATGCCAAATATCATCGACCCGGCAAAGACCGTCCTTCAAATTTTTTTGCGACCTTCTTGATGACGATAATTGGATTAATGCCCAATGGCCAAAAAACTTCATTTATCTTTATCTATATATAATGAGTTATGTCGAATTCCGGTGGAATTGCAAAATACGATGCAGGATATATATAAAGAAATGAAAAAAATTGGTTATAGGGTTCCAATAAGTTCATCCTTGGTCAATGGCAGAGATGATTCGATATATAATATATATAATGATGTCACCACGATAAATGATGAATTGATAAAACAATATCTATCTGTTCATGCCCAGGTTGTGACCTCTGAAGATCTATATGGAGTGGAAAACACTTAATCTTATTCTACGACCAAATTGATCGGCGAAATGCCCACAAAAACCCTTAAAACACACCAAAAAACCCGCAAACGCCCACAAATCCCAGAAAGGAGGTCAAATGGGTTTGTGAGATACCTCTCAATTCGTTGAATTGCAACTCTTTTGGGCTGAATGTCATGAGTAGGATTGCCTGCTCGACTTGGACAATCTTTGGTCATAAGCTGTTCGGGAGAAAATGAATGCCTAATCATATTGAACTACGAACATAATGTCGACATGAAATTATTTGCTAGCAAAAATGAAATTATGGTTCCTTTTGCATATTCGTATATCATTAGCGCATCTTATAGTTTTGTTGCGTTCGAACGTGCTTATAACTCTTGGAGCGCTAGGCCAATATCTGGTCGACCAGGGATTAATGAATACCGTTCTTTCTTAGAGGGGTATATCGATTGTTCAAACGATGGCAAACCCAATTTCATTTGATTTTGCCACAATTTTTGTGCAAACAAATGAAATCATACATTTGAATTCCCGTGAAACCGACCATCATCGTCATCATCATCATCATCCATCAGTCATCCAGAGGCCACGGGGAGGGCAATGTGTGACTATGTACGACCATTCTTTTTTTGAATCGTTTATATTCAATCATTTTTCATTTATTGGTATTAAAGAAAATAGTGTAAATCCCATCGACCAAAATATTTTGGGATTTTGAAGGTCTAGGAATATCAATGATAATCGAATATTGTGATGATAATGTCATTCTCTCTTTGACCTATGAAGGTTTGATATTAAAGACAATGCTAATAATGTTGGGCATATTAATGGTGATGTTCATGTTATTGGGCCATAATATTGATCACGAAAGCTAGCACCAGCTAGCTGGAGTTGTCCTTCCTGTAGCAAATGAGGGATTGCAATCCTCGAGATCGCCGTATCACGTGAAAATTTCATATGTAGGGGGGAGCCTCCATTTTCAGGGGATTCAACTCCCCCCCTGGGACGCCTCTGGGACACCTCTTGGACAATTCTTATGGCATCCAGATTTAATCAACTTAACGCCTCTTGGCTATTCGTATATCTTTCTCATTTTTAAACCTCATGAATAAGGTCTTATGAATCATTCTTCCAACCATTCCATGCCTATGAAAAATTAATTTGCCTCTCTCCGTTTGATGTCCCACCAATCCTTTGTCATGACGGTGCTGTATATTTCGCCTCCATTGATACGAATGCACCCCTACTAGCTTTCGTCCCCCCCTCGGCCTCAAATGTTGATCATTCACCCTGAATCTGAGCCAGAAAAAATTATGGAATCAATCGTTTCGAATTCCACGCACTGCCCAATTATTTCTGTGTTTTCTGCCTTTGTGGATTACGTCATTTAGCTGGGAAACGATCCTCCGGACGATATCCAAAACGTCATTTAATCGACCTCCTTAATTACGTGCATTATATGTTTAATTGTTGTTATTCTTGCTCCTCTTGCTCCTCCTGCTCCTGCTCCTTTTGCTGCTCTTGCTCCTCTTGTTCCTCCTGTTCCTCTTGTTGCTCCTGTTGTTGTTGGTGCTCGTGCTGGTGCTGCTGCTCCTATTGCTGCTGGTATTGTTGGTTCTACTGCTGCTCCTTCTTCTGCTGCTCCAAATAATAAATAATTCTTTTCGAAATAAGGAATAGTAAATTTATAACAATTTAATAATATGTATATTTGATTTGTGGTAATGATATTGATAATGTTATTTAATGGTTTTTTGGAATTTAATCATGGAGATTTTCGATAATGAAAATAGACATATATTTAATTTTTTGTCATTTACGATGATTTAATATTGATATTAAAGATTTGGGATTAATATTAATAGTAAAAATAAATCAATAATTATGGAATGATAATATGGAGAAAATAAATGGCAATGATGGGAATAATTGCCATTTGTTTGATGAATTATCGATTATGTAGTGATTTATGGGAATTGAGGATTGATATATTCTTTGGTTTATAACAATGATTATAATAGGGGTAGCCTAGATTTTGCAACGGCTAAAATATTCTAATACGATTGGATTGTTTTACTATTTTTTACATTTCGATGGAGAAAATGGTAGTTGTTAGAAACGATTTATTTTTGTTCAACGTTGTGATTTGGATATATTCCGCAGATTTTGATCCGAGTAGTCATCATCGGCTATTATACATCTATATTT